CTATAGATTAGGGGAGTGAGGCTGGGGGGCAGCAGCCTATAGATTAGGAGAGTGAGGGGGGGCATCCTATAGATTAGGGGAGTGAGGCTGGGGGGCAGCAGCCTGTAGATTAGGGGAGTGAGGCATGGGGGGGCAGCCTATAGATTAGGGATGTGAACATAGGCGTGCGCAGCCTATTGCATTAGGGTGTGCACCCTAAAGCACAAACACTCGCCATGTGTATATGTATGTGTGTGTATATATATATATATATATATATATATATACACACTGCTGTGTGTGTGTGAGGGTGCTGTTTGTGTGCTGTGTGTGAGGGAACTGGTAGTGTGCTGTGTGTGTGTGTGTGTGTGTGTGTGTGAGAGGGTGTTTGTGTGTGCGTGTTTGTTCGGGTCCTGTTAGTGTGCTGTTTGTGTGCTGTGTGTGGGTGTTGTGTGTTTGTCAGGGTGCTGTTTGTGTGTGGGTGCTGTGCGGGTGTTGTGTGTGTGGGTTTTGTGTGTTTGTGTGGGTGTTGCATGTGTGTGGGTGCTGTGTGTGCGAGGGTGAAGTATGTGTGTGGGTGCTGTTTGTGCGCTGTGTGTGCTGTGTGTAGGTACTGTGTGTGTGTGTGTGTGTGTGTGCTGTATGTTTGGGTGGAGGTGGGGGCAGATTAGTTAATATCCCAGTCCTGCTGCCTTCCCTGGTGGTTCAGTGGAGAGTGAACTCTAGCCCGGGTTCTCTGCTGCCTCCCTCCATGCTGCTGTGGACCGGTGAGGTAGAACTTTGATCTCCCCACCGGCCCATGGAGGCTTAGACCAGAGCCGCCGCTCGGATAGCGTCGGCTCTGCATGAGCCGATTGGGGAGATCCAGAGATCTCCCCTGCCGGTCTCAATCCATTGGTGTGCCGCGGGGATTAGGGTGTGCCCAGGCACACCCGACACACCCCGTGCGCACGCCTATGGAAGTGAGGGATGGGGGAGACAGCCTACATGAAGAGTCAGCAAGGAACAAGAAGGTAAAGTAAGAAAAGGAGAAGGAACAGAAATGAGCAGGAAGGGACATCAAGGAGCAGAAAGGGGCAGCAAGGAGCTGGAAGGGACAGCAAGGCGCAGAAAAGGTAAAGTAGGAGAAGGAGCACAAAGGAACAGAAGTGAACAGGAAGGGTCAGCAAGGAAGGTAAAGCAGCACAAAGGTAAAGTAGAAGGAGCAGAAAGGGTCAGAAATGAACTGGAAGGGGCAGAAGGAGCACAAAGGTAAAATAGGAGAATGAGCAGGAAGGGCCTGCAAGGAGCAGGAAGGAGCACAAAGGTAAATGAGCAAAAAGAATCAGAAGGGGCACAAAGGTAAAGTAGAAAAGGGAGCAGAAAGGGTCTGCAAGGAGCAGAAAGGGATCAGAATGAGAAAGGAGCAGAAGGGCGCTAAATAAGCAGAAAGTAGCAGAAAGGTAAAAGAGCAGAAGGGGCCAAGGATAGAAAACAGTGTCAGAAGAAAAAAAAAGACTGTCAAATGAAGGAGAGGAAAAGGAGATTGGAGCAGGAAGGACAAATGAAGTGAACTCTCCACTTTATTCTGGACACCATATCATAAGGCTTTGGTACCTGGGCCAGGCAGGGAAACGCTGGACCTTCTCATCTCCAAAGGTAAAAAATATCAGTATTAATGTGTTCACTTTTATTTACTGAGTGTCAGGAAGCACAGAGTGCCGTTGGGTAGGGGTGTTGCTGATTGGCTAGAGCGGTCAGCTGGCACTCTAAGCCAATCAGTAGCTCCCCATTCATAAAAAAGTGAAAATATTTTATGAACCGGGAACTAGCGATTGGCTTAGAGCGTCAACTGTCCACTCTAGCCAATCAGCGGCACCCAAGCCTGACGTCAATCTGCACTTCCAGACACTCTGTTTCAGAAGCCAAATACCACTGAGCGACCTGGAGCTGGAGGAAGCCTTTGGGGTTAAACCATTTGAGAGCGATTTAACCCCTTAAAGGAAAGCGAGCACCCAGGGGCTTCCTGGCATCATAGCATTTTCATTTAGGTGAAGTTGTTATGGTGACCAGAAATGTCCTTTAATTTGCTTAAAGGAACACTATAGTGTCAGGAATACAAACATATATTCCTGACACCATAGTTGTGAAAACGCTATTCACGCTGGCTTTATGTGATAATGGCTATGCCCCTTCCCTTTCATGACACTGTCAAAAAGGTACCAAGCATGGATGTCATTACAATTATGCCCCCCCCTGGAAAAATTCCTGCGGACGCCCATGATTGATTCCCTCTAATGTGGGCTGAAATAATTCTGCTTCCCCTTCTAGGTTATACAATTTACTGTAGTACAAAGCTATCTCCTCTAGGATATCCTTTGGGTTATAAAGTTTCACGTTCTGTGCAGAGATAATATATGGAACTGTATTTTGTAAATAGCTTTTAAGTTTCTAGCAAGTAACTTTCCATGGCTGTAATATGTTTGTTTTAAGAACAGCCTTTGTTTCTCAGTTTCTTGTAAAGAAAATACCTGTAATTCTTTTTTAGTGTTTTCTTTTTTTTTTTGAGGGATTAAATTTGTTTTGAAAATCTAGAATAGCAAATTTGCAAAAATTGTAACCGAGTTGTATCTGTTCTCCTTTTATTTAAGGAACCAATTTGAATCAAAATGCCTCTTATTACAGCCTTATAGGCTATCCATTGCGTTGTTACTGAAATTGGGCTCATTAAATTTTCTTGAAAATATAACGGTATCATATCCTTAATTCTTTGCTGATTTATTAAATTGTCTAATAATGCCTAATTTAAGCACCATTTATAGTGATTTACAATTAATAATTATCAGCGCATGATCTGACCAAGTTCTACTAACTATATTAACATCATATTTTTAATTGTATTTTTGTCCACGATACACATATCAATATGTGAATATGTAATGTGGACCTGGGAAAAAACAAGAATTCCCTTGCTGTGGGATATAATCTACAAGTGCCAAGTGTCATATAAATCGTGCATATAGAGTAGTTTAGCTAATCTCTGGGCTAATAAAATTGATACGTGACTTTGATTTTTATTTAGTTCTCATTTGATATCTAATCATGGATCCAACGTGCAGTTAAAATCACCACAGATAATAATATAACCTTTTTTCAATAATACAATTTTTTTAAATGATTTTTTGAGAAATTGTGCTTGAGATTGATTTGGAGCATGCAAGGATAACATGGTGATTACACATCCATTCATGGAGCCCAGTAAAATCAAAAGTCTCCACATGTCATCCTCTTATCTTTTCTGTAGCTGAAATAGCCAATCTACATGAAAAAATATAGAAACACCTTTAGTTTTTGCATGAAAAGCCTGCGCATATTTCTTAAATTTCTTAAAATAAACTTAGGTGCATCTATTGAACTAAAATGTGTTTCTTAATAACATAATAGCTGAATTAGATTTATACATTCCATGTAGTGCCAGTCTTCACCTATGCGGACTTTTTAGACTTTTGACATTTAGTGAGACTATTTTAAATTAATCCTAATCCCTAAGGGACATGTAATTGACCAAAGCCTATATAATTAATATCTATATATATTTTTTTTCTTTAATTGTTTCTCCCTTTTCCCCCTTACTTTACCTTTTTACCTTCCACTCCTTCCTACCCCCTTTTTTCCCCCTATTTATTTTCTCTTTTTTTTCCCTCTCCCTTCCCTTTCTCTTCAACCCTCGTATCTTATCTTTTATTCTCTCAAAACATTTTAAACATATAATCTTCAAACATTTAAATTCTTGATTATGCACTTGATATGTGCCACAAGGGGAAAATCGGGAAAAAAAGAAAAAATCAAAAAAGCATAAATTAAAAAAAAAGAACATGAAAATGAAAAAGGAAATAAATCTCATTTCCCATATGCATATTATCTCTTTTTTAATTCCTTTTTTCTTTATTTATTTTTATAGCTTTTTTTGTACATTTGTTTTCTTTAACCTTTCTCTCTCCCCCCCCCCCTTTTTTCCTTTTTCTTTTTTTTTTCCTTAACACCTATAAGTTGGCATACTTTTTGTTGCCAAGTTGTTTCATTTTCACATTTAATCCTTAATAAGCCCTTAAATATGTCCCTAATGAGCCTTTAATTATCCTGTTTTTATATTTTATGTTTTGGTTTTACCAACGATTTGCCATTCTGAGCGGAGCTTCTTCGGATTTCTCTCCATGGAATGGTTGTCCTATCTATCATTATCTATCTGCGTTGCGGTTTGCATTACTCCCAATTCTTCTATTTTTTTTTTCTTTCCATCTTCTGGGGTAAAAACTACTTAAAAAAGGATCATTCCTCCAAATCATCAGTTTTGTAGGGTACCCCAACAAATAAGGATTTTCTTTTCTATGAAGATTCTTGTAACATTTCCATATTCTCATCTGTAAGCCATAGTGGTGGCAAACAGGTATGCCAACAGAGATAAGTTCTCATAGGGAGCTGGTAAGGTTGGCATCTTTCTGACAGCGTTTACTAATGATTTTTCAGATTAGTAATAATGAAAACAGGTAATTACATCACCAGGGGTGTCTGCAGTGACATGTAGTGATTTCGGTAAGCAGTGAATACGGTCTATAGCCCAAGCAGACGCCTCCATCTCTGGCACTAACGTGAAACATAGCAATTTCATGTAATCTAAAAGATTACCTTGTACAACAGCCTTGGGAGCACCCCGAGTCCTAATGTTGTTACGGCGTGACGATGCTCAAGGTTTGCAACTTTTTTTTTCAGGGCCTCCAAATTTTGAAATTTATCCACAATAACATCACATGCATGATACATGCATTTCCTCCAACTCCCTTTCTAGCTTGTCAGTTCTGCTTCCTGGCTCTGCCAAATCCACATGTAGAGAAACGGTAATCTCCTTAAAATCTGTTTGTATAGTTATTTGGAGATCCTGAAACATCTAACTTAAACTCTGTTCTGTGACCAAGCTGTCAGCATTCACCTTAGCAACTGATGGTAAACTGAGTGAGTTAGGTGAGTTAGAATGGTTAGGGAAAACAGCATTTGTTGTGGGTAACAAGGTGCCAGCAGCCACGTGCTCCCCTTGTACCTCTGATATCAGAGAATCCGCTGGTGATCATGATTGTGAGCATCCTCCAGACCCATCGCCATCTTGCAGGGGTTTGCGCCGCTTGCTCATCCCCTGTCACATAGTATCCGTAATATTCACCTGCTTCAAGGGTGTCATACTCCACACAGCAAGTCCGTACAGCTGTATTCAGCTCCATGCAGCAGACAGTTGTCAACCGATATATGAAGGTAGAACCTTTCTACTTCACGCTCCCACTCACCAGCACCACGGGCCAAGGTAATTTTTCAAAGGGATTATATTTACCACTCCACCGCCACACACTACTTCACCCCGCTATCTTTTTTTTTTTTTTTTTGCTTTCATCATAGCTTTTTAGGCCTTAGGCTATGTAGGATGCAGAGCTCCTGCTACATGCGACTGCTCTCTCTGGAAAGAGATTTGTTTTTTAATGTTTTTGTTTTCATTTTATGTTTCATTTGTTCGTTGCAATGTTTAAGTGCCTCTGGTGGCTGTCACTCAGACAGTCACAAGAGGCAATTCTGATTAATAAGCAGAGTGCAACTCTAGTATCCAAAAGCATTGGTTTTGCTGGAAAGGAGACAAATCTTCACTGTGGAGACCGGTGGGAGAAAAGGTAATTAAAATACCTTTTTTGCTACCTGCATGTGGGGCTGGAGACATAAACAGCCACTAGGGCACTATATCATACAGAATACATATTTCTATTTCTAATGATAAAGTGTTTCCTTTAACCCTTAATTTTTAAAAGGGTCAGTCAAATATTTATTTACGTGGTTTGGTATGCACCTGAAATTAGGCGCAATGGGGTCCAGGAGTCAGTTCACTTAAAAAGGCTTCTCTATGTCCAGATAGTTAGGGAAAATACACAGCATTTGCATATATGGGGTGTATGACTTTAAATCTGCTAAAGGCAGAGTCAAGTTGCTACACACCACAATACTCTACTTTTAACTCAAAGATGGAAACTGTAGAGAAGATATAGGAAAACAGTATGAGGAACTGTTTCCTATTTTAGTGAAAGCATTAAACAGTTAAATGTGTATATCTTTAAATCTGTGACTGATAAAATGAGACAAGATATATGCCAATATCATACGCTGTGACAAAAAATAAAAACGCGGCTCATCCGACAGCCTCACTAGAAAGGCGGGCAGTGACCGCGAGAAGCGCGTGTCCCGCCTGAATCTAAGAGCGCGCCGCGAGTCTCGGGCGCGCTCTTAAAGAGACAGTGGGAGCCTAAATTGTTAAAAGGCTCCCATTGGCCCCTGTCATGCCACACTCCCCATACACTTACCTTTTGGGGGTGTGGATATGACAGGATCCAATCACATTAGTTGAGAAGCTATTTAAGCTTACCTCTCCCTTTACACCCTGCCCTATCGTGGTTTCTGTATCAGTTCCCTTTAGCGCTTGTTGTGTTCACTTGTATTTCTCCGTATTGACTTTGGCTTTGTTTCTGACTACGTTTTCTCTTTATCCTTATCTGTTCTGGTTGTCGGCTTGCTGTTTACTGTGTACCAGACTCCGGCTTGTCCTAGTTTACGCTGTCTCTCTGTGCCCTTGACTTCGGATCGTTCCTGACTCTGCCTCCTCTCATATACGTTGAGTCCGGCCATTCTAAGGTCGACGTATCTCTCCTCTGTGTTGTCTTCTGTTTAGCTGAATCCTGCGTGTTGGGGTACATTCTCGTTACATTACGATAGGGCCATGGACCCCCGCAGGTTTGGCTCAGCAAATGGCTTCTCACGAGGCAAGGTTTGTAGAGCAGGATCACCGTATGGATCAGATAGCACAGGCTCTCCAGACGCTCTTGTCTAGAACTATTCCTGCAACCGCACCTAACCCTCCTACACCTCATCCTCCCGAAGTATCCAATTCACCCAATACTTCAACCCATTTAACACCTCCTCCTAGGTATGGAGGGGAAGCCAAGACATGCAGAGGTTTTATTAATCAAATAGAAT